GGGGGCTATATGTTTTTCTGTGATAGGTAAGCAGCAGCAAGGACACCTCTGCTTGTTAAAAACTCAGTTCTCTGCCTCTGCCTTCTAGGATCTTTGAGGCAGGTACGGCCCTGAAAAGGTGCTGCTTACAGCCAACCATTGTGCAGAGCTAGAAAACGAAGGAGGAAAGGGGTCTGTCTTCGAGTATGGAAAATGCAAACTGCAGGTCCCCACCCCTGTACAGTGACAATATCGCACCCTGGCTGGGGATTAAGGCTGATTTCTGTGGTGGCCCCTCAGGGTAGGGAGTTGCTGTGTGTTTCTCACGAGGATCATGGTTAGGACTCCAGCAAGGCTTATGAGGTTATAAAAGGTGTATAGTATTAATTATGAATCCACAGCCTGGGAAGACAAATGGACAGTTAAAGATGTCTGAGAAATGGGATAAAAACTGAAGCAACTGCTTACACAACCACCACAGGGCCGTATGCTGCTTGCATTCTTGTCACACACGGGTGCGTTGGCTGGCAAGCCAGCCGGAGCATGTCCACGTGCCTCCAAGTGCTGGCTGCAGTTGCCTGGTTGTTTCATCGCCATTTGTTCTCCTGGGTTTTGCAGACTGACTGCTGACAGGCTCACCTACTCTGTGCTGGGAGAAACTATTTCAGTTGTTTGTACATAAGCAGTGCTCCGGTTCTGTGCAGGCTGTTTATTTTAGTTAAGGCTCTGCTGCAGTGATTGTTAGCATTGTAATGTGGATGCTCTGAATGGGGATTGGAATTTTAGTGCCACTTTCAAAAGCTTCCCTTCACCTTACGTGCCAATTTCTGACATTTGCATCCAAGTGCCATCTCTTCCACATGTGACTTCTGCACAGGTGGTTATTTTAACTATGCTGTGATGGTCCCTTACAGCAAAAGCTTCTCTCATAACAATGTCTCCTGTGCTGTGCCAGTTAAAACATATGTGACAGTATTGCAGTTTACTAGCATTCTATTTATGTACCTTAGGCTATATAGTGTGTGTATATTATATAGACAGAGCAAATATAGTATATCACGTTTTTTTATATGCACATATATACTATACACATACAGTATTATGTACTGTACTGCTGTGTATATAGTATATACTACATCTGGTACTATATGTGTATAGTATATATGAGCATATATAAAACTTAATACAGTATATTAGTACTGCTTCCTATGATCAGCTACTTAACTGTTCTCCCAGTCCATATTTTGTGCTGTTGTGGACAAATGTTTGTGGGTGTAGTTAATGTAAATGAGAATAATTGTTTAATAAAAGCAGGCTGAGTCCACATCTTTGACATGCTCTGAAAGATCTAGCAGCCTCTTCTGGTTCTAGTCCTAGAAGTTTCTTGGCTGCAGCAACAGACACTGGTCTAGCATGTATCCTCCTAACCCTTATCTTCAGGCTGTGTTGCATCAAAAGGTGTTTCCTTTCAGCAAAGTCAAGCAAAGCATCCTGTGAGGGATCTTAAAATAGAGATAAACCACAGGTTTTCTCTGGGGTTTGGGTCCCCCCCCCCCTGCATCTTTTTGGCTTTTCTGGGTTTTTTTGTGGCATTGAAGCTGTATCCTGCAATCATGTAACTGACTGTCAGTATCAAACTTCCACTGCTAAATACAGATAGGTATGTGAGGTCCCCTGACTAGTTTTGGGGGATGCATCCATCTCCCCTAGTTACAGAAACACCTGTCTGGCAGGGGAGCCTTTAGAAGAGTGCTTGCAGTGAAGGTACCCTGGGCAGTGTGAGTGAAGTGCGGAAGGAGAAGGTAGCCCTGCCGCACAGGAGCTGACACTTGGTGCTTTGCCAGAGCCTGCTCTGCCGGACTCCACGCCTGACCCTTCCCAATGCTGGAAACTGCAGCAAGCAGCCTGCGAGCATGAGATTGCGTGTTATCTCCTGCAGCTGCCTTATCTGCCCCTTTGCATGAGGGAGGGCACTGAGAGTTATGGCAACATTGAGAATGAGACAATTTGTTAAAGCTTGCTCTTCTAGTGAACTAAGCTATGGCTACCTCAGTTTAAGAGATCACTATTACCAAAACAATGTTTAATTAAAAAAAAAAATTTATTTCACACTTCTATACAGATATCCACAGGTAATTTCTAATCATGGAATGATGTAGCATTGCTAGCTGGTATTAAAAAAGTTTCAGAGAAAAGTATACCAGTGACATGACTTATTTTTCAAGAACTTTCAGTTTAACACTGCTAAGACATTCATGTTCTGAGGAGAGGGCCACAGTCTGCTTTTAAATCCAAGGCTATTTGTCAAGCTTCTTAGCCGCTGACTAGCCTGGCTTCTGATGCTGCTGAGCCTTTCAGCAACTAGGCTAGAATTTTAAAAGGTCAAAAACTGTGTGACAGCTAAATACATGTATAAGTGTTCATAAAATCAGGGTCATAACATGCTGAGATTATTTAGTCTATTAAATTAATGTACTTTCTATAATGATATCTTTTTAGGTGACCACACTTTCCAAAAAGGTATGTTCAAAGTCAGTAGTAAAATAAGACACTTGACAACTGCCCTCCTAGCAGGTTTTTACCCTATGAGGGGAAAAAGTACCAAGAGGTTTTTGCATAGTTCAAATTACTAGCAATTAACAGGCATACTTTTTGAGCAGAATTTTGTTTTGCGTAGAATAAACAATTGTGAACTAAATCTTCATTCCTAAATAGTACCAACGCTTTAGAACACGGGTAGAAAAGTAAACTCTTTAAATAGTTTTATCAGTTATATTACAATAACTAGAGTACTGATTAAACACAACATTGTAGTTCTACTTTTATCAACATTCAGGTATTCCAGATGATTCAGTAGTCTCAATGTGGATCAGCTCAGATCCCCATGGTTAAGGTAAGTTAGGCATTTATAGCCTGCTTCAAGTGCTGTGTTACAGTTGCAGTAGTCAATGCTTTTTGCCAAACAGGAAGTCCTTATGAAGCTGGAAAGTGGTTTCCAGAGAACCTCTCACTTCTTGCAGTAAGTATAAAACTGTATCTAAAAACCCAGCTTCTGCTTGGTGTCCAAATCGTTAAATAGTCTGAAGTAATATACAAATCATGTTACAAGACCTGGAAATTCCTATTACATAAAGTTACAAGTATCGGGGGAAAAAAAGCCCCCATACACATCGTTGGAGTAAATATGTACATGTTTAGAAAGCATTGGCACCTTTGGTGATTTGTTAAAATGCAGTGAAAGCCTCAGGTCTCACAATCTGAAGTTCAAAAACACAGTGGATTTGAAGGTTCAGTTAAGTCTTTGGCCTAACAGTTAGTCAAAGACAATGATTTATAACAAAAATAAATACAAAAATGACTAAAGTGTATATATACAAAAAGTACATCTAATATTCAAGCCTCTCTTTTAAAAAAAAAAAAAAAACTATGTATATTTGTGAGCAAGAATCACACAATCCAATCTTAAAAAAAAAAAAATTTTTTGAGCAACATGACCTATTGCACATGTAATTTAAGATGATGCTTTTTGTTAAGCCCTAACTACTGCAGCAGGCAAAGTTTATGACTAAAGTAGATTTGCAGGTCTTCAGATTATACTTGAACAAAGTATGTTAAGGCCACTGTCTCTTTATAATTAGCTACGCATTGACAGAAGGATAGAGAACCTGTCTTGATCTTAACCATGCGTTCCTTGCACGGAAGGTTAGGATCACAGGCAAAGGTCTGCCATAGTGGTTTTGTATATTTTGCAGAAAAGACCCCAAATCAACACAGTATCTTCTAAAGTGTGAGTTAGATTTGAAGGGAAAAAGAGGCAGTCTGGAAATTAAATAATGCAAATAAAGTTTGTTGAAGCAGTTTTAACTGTGCAAACAAAAGCCTCAATATAAGTAGTAATATCTACAATCAAATGGTGAATGTCCATAGTGTTCATAGGTCTAACTCCATCAGTATTCCATTAATGAAAAACCTTAACATCTATCTGAACTTTGTGGATGAAAATAATTTTTCCCTAAGAATAACTTTCATTTTCATTCCATTTTGTGAACCACTGTTTTGTCTCAAGGTCTTTGCAGTTCCCATCTTTGATCTGTCGCTCTTCTTTTCGAATTCTTACAGCATGATATCGGGGGACACTGTCTTCGTACCTAGAACGCTGGAAGAACCCACACTGGGGCAGAGAAGAAAAAGAACAGTTTAGGTTGCTGCCAAAGTACTACAATTATAGAGGCAATAAATTCTTCCTTTGTGCAGATATACAGGTAAGAAAATTGAAAACAAACATACATAAGCTAAGCCAAAAAAGTAGCATATGTAGCTATAAAAATGTGAGCCAGCAGATTTACATTAGTTGTTCCAGCAGCAGTTGAAGACAAGTAGCATAGTCTGACAATCTAGTAATCTAATACCTTAAAAATATTCCCTCCACTAACTTCCTAAATTTGTTTTACAAGTCTTTTAAGTTGTCTTATAGAGCTATTCATTCACATAATGAGAGAATTTAATGCTACACAAAGAAGTAGATACAGTTCAGGAAAGCTTGCTGCTTCTGAATCAAAAGTAGGTATGTACTTTGCTATCTTCCTGTACAGTGACATGATTTACCTTTAAAATCCTACAGAAAGATTCCCAGGGCCTTCAAGAAAAGTTACACTAAGGCCTTGTTTTTCAAAGCACCATCTCAACTACAGTCACCTGAACTAACCACACATATGCAGTATGAGAACATGAGTCTTGCTTAGTTTGCCACAGGACAAAAAAAAAAAAGACATAACTTGAAAGTTTTGTAATGTGCCATGACACAAGTCTCCCCAGATGAAATCTAGTACAGCTTATTTATGCCCTGCAATTTTTTATTCAAAGCCACTGTAAAAACTGATTTTAACTATTGAGGAATGGACTGAAATTAGTTTTCAAAACAAAATGGAGTTACGGCCACAATGTTACAAAGATGATGATTGGTAGATGCTCAACTTTACATGCTTATGGGTCACCGATGTCAAGATTAAGGTTAAGAGACATTGTGCCATCCAGCTGCCATTAGATACTGCTAGAAAAGAGATTAAAGTGGTAAGGTTTTGTTCATAGTATTTGGGGTGGTGGGTTTTTTTAAAAAAAACAACATCAGAACTCAGGTGGAACTGAATTTAAAAAAAAAAATTACATCCAGGCATAGACCAAATCTTTAGCCATGTCTTAGTTAAGATTTCATGAAACATTGTTTTGACATATTTTAGTTAAGAATTCCTCCGCACCCCCTGATCCCAAGCATCACTTAATTAATATGATGTACATGCATGTAATATCTTAAGTTGAATAAAGGTTGCCAGAAGCATAAATCATCATGCATCTAGTAGCTTCAGCAGAGGAAAGTGTGTTCCTAGAAAAGTATACCTTAGAATTGAAGGAAAACAGACGTTTCCACAGCAATTTAATTCTCATTATGAAAACCCCTTTCATTATAAGCAACATGTATCTTTTAGCATGCACTGAAGATTAGCAAAGCAAGTTTATCATTCACGTAGTCTTAGCTTTAAATCTTAACTCTGCAGTGTTGACTACCATCTCTCAAGCTTAAAACTTAATTGTACTGTTAAAACATAAATTTCAAAAAAAGACTAAAAAACATTACAACAGATCAAGATGTTTTCCACAGAAATAAACAAGAAGCTTTTTAGACCAAGGTGAACACCTGTGTTTGTTCACGTGCACCAAAAGCTGAAAATCTATCAACAGAATGAGCAAGCGAGTATGACAGATAGTTTGAAAAAGTTAATAGAACATATGCAGTAAAAGCTTCATAGTTAGCCACCGCAACCATAGCATGTGCCACAGCTAAAAAATTAAAAAAATTTCATCAATTACCAATTACAGAAGTAGATCAATACTATGCATCAGAAGTAAGTCTCTCTTTATCAGATGGCTGAGCATGGATCTCAGCCTTGTGATATGTGGCATCGTAATGATCTTTCTTATTTCTCTTGAAGAAACCACACTACAAGGAAGCAAGGTATTTAGTCAATTTCTGTGGACTGAAAGAAGTCAAACCTATTAAAACTGACTTAAATTAACTCTGAACTATCTTCCCGTTATCCCTTCACAGGCCTAAAAAAAAAATAAAATCACAACAACTGAGCTGTTTCTAGATCTGATAATTTCTTGGACTAGCTCGATCTGTAAAATAATAGAATAACTTGAGGTAAACAATATTATTTTAGAGGCATTTTGATAAATTTGTAATGCATCTGTTTGGGTTTTTTGGTTTTGTGGGTTGTGTTTTTTTTCGTTGGTTGGGTTTTTGTTTTTAGAAAAGCTACTATAAAGTATGTCCACAGCAACTAAAGCTGGCTGTGAAGAGCAGAAAGAAATCTATATAGAAACCTGTTCATGGACTAGTGCACAGGATAGACAAAAACATAGGGTAGAACAAAAATGAGTACTACTTTGACCTGTACAACACAAGCATTTGTCTTAAACCAGTCATGTAACTGTCTTTGAAGTACCATGTTTGTCCTTCATAAGATGACACAGTGTTTGTCATCAGAAGAAGCATTTTACACTGTGTGTCTATTTTCGTGTGCAGCAAGACACTATTAGTTATAACCTAACAGCCCACCCAAGTATTAATTCATCAGGAAGAATTGCAGCAGGTGCTGGGCATTTATTAGAAAACAGGGAAGTCAGAACTATCCTGTAAGAAGTAACCTGCAGCAAACAGTAGCTCCTCAAAGCTAATTGCTACAGTTTCTCCAGAAGAAAGTGACAGACAGAGGATATTCTTCTTCACCTCTTGTTTCTGAATAACCTTCTGCTATCCCATAACAGCAAATACTAACTGCCTATGCCTATAAAAACCAAGAATAAAAGGACTGCCCTGCTATACTTGGAACCACAATTAGTTGTAAAAATGCCAAAGGTAGTTAGAAAAATAGATACTTGATTTTTTTTCTTTTGCAAATTGTTAACCTTTTGTTATACACACTTACTCCTTTAAGGTTTTTAAGATAAAAAGCCAATACTACAGAAATTCACCAACACACTTGGCTATAGATTATTTCTGTACCTTTTGGTTATTTTTATCTACTCTCAGTTTAATGGTATTTCTAATGTTATGAGAACAAAGAGCTGCTAAACCATTTGTAAGTAGTTCACATGAAGTTTTACACCTAACTGCAGAAGCCCCAATTAGCTGTATCCATCCATATCAAAGTAACTATGGTCTCTGAACATTGTCTTAAGTTTTGCCCAGAGCTCAAAATACTTCCTTTTGAGGATGTGCAAGCAGAAAAATTTCATAACAAGTCTTCCCATGTAACCATTTTCATTCTGTATGTTGCAAAACTGAGAAACTGATAAAGGTAATATATGGTTTGGGCAGTTTTACTCTATTTTGAGTCCCAAATAAAACAAAAATATTTAATCATTTGCTTAATTAGTTTGCTGTCTTATCAGTTGTAGACCAGGAGATGTAAAATAACCATATGAATAGAAACTCACCTTCCATAGTAAGAATACCAACAGTGCAAGCATCAGTATTCCAGCAAAAATAGCCACCGAGATGATCCACCAAGGTACTCCTGTATAAAGTGCTACAGGTTTGGCAGGAAAGACAGTAACACGCACCTAAAGGAGAGAAAATATGTGAAGATGTAAAGAGCATTTCAAAAGCATCCATGTTAATGTAAAGCTGTAATTTATACAGTCTTTTTTCTCTAACAAGATGTCTTCTCTCTCTCATCTACAAAGTGTTTTTGAAGAATAAGTTCCTACTGGTATCATTTCAATATGGCAGTGAGTTTTTCCAACCCGATTAAAAGGTAAAAACAACCAGTAATTCAGTTATCAATAACTCAGGTAAAAAGCTAAACTTTTAGCTAGTTTTGTTTTAAAATGCTTTGGGGGCGGGGGGGGGTTCAGTCTTTGAGGTAAGCTGGAAACATCACAACCATAACATATGGTTAGCATTAAATGTTGAACCTACCTGAGCAACTTCATTTGTGAGTTTAACATTCTTAGCTGCAGCAGGAACACTGATTGAAGCCCTAACAAGAATGTCCAGGTAGTTCATTTTGGAGTATTCCTGTTCCAAAACAAAATAGGGACATTAGACACAGAACAGGAGAGAACTCTGACCTTCCAAAATGGCAGATAAGAGGACTTACTTCTAAGAAAGTACTGTTCCACAGTCTGGAACGCAGCACAATAGATGCCTTGCTGTCTAAACCCTTCAGGGGACATTTTATATCCACGCAGCGTGCATTCACATTGCAGTCCTGCAATTACAAATTCGTGCATGTAAATAAAAACACATCCTCACAAATTAACCCACCCCTGATTAAAAATTGCATTATATGCATCATATTTGTGTGCAAGAACCAAAAATCTGTTTGTACTGACAGCAACAGGAAAATACCTGTTTATTTTATGTAGATAACTATGCAGAAACTCTTTCCTATTTCTCTCTTGTCAGTAGATAATCTAAATGGTCAACTTTTAAAAGCTTCGATACTTGGATTTAACATAAAAACAAAGCAGAGAGATACCTTCTTTCACCCTGCCAAAGCCCTCTTACAAGTGCAGGGGGAAGTATCTGACAAGACTACAGTTGGTACAATATGCTTACCAAGGTCTTGTATTTTCTTTCCGAGAATAAAGAAAATGTCTTGCTGTCTGTAATCTGCTTCTCTGCAACCTCACGTTTCCTTCTTGAGTTATGGGATTCCTAAAAAAAGAGGGGAAAAAAAAAAGGTAAAAGTTTTAGTAGTTTATCTTAATTCTGACCCCACATAAGCAGAGAAACAAGAACTCAGGGAGTGTTTTCTTGTTCCAAGATCAGCACGAGTGACATCATTATATATCCCTACTTAACTACATTTATTGCTAATAGTAGAGTCAGGACAATTCCTAGAATTTGAGTTTACCTAAAGAAAGGTCAACTGCCTACTTTCTTTAATAGGTCAAAGGGGTTTTAGATTTATAATGCTTTCAATGTGTCGTGGTTTAGCCCCAGCCAACAACTAAGCACCACGCAGCCGCTCGCTCACTCCCCCTACCCCGATGGGATGGGGGAGAGAATCGGAGGAGTAAGAGTGAGAAACACTCCTGGGTTGAGATAAGAACAGTTTAATAATTGAAATAAAGTAAAATAGTAATGATAATAGTAACAGTATAATAATAATGATACACGAAGCAAGTGATGCACAATGCAATTGCTCACCACCCACCGACCGATACCCAGACAGTTCCCGAGCAGCGATCGCTGCTCCCTGGCCACCCCCCCCCCCCCAGTTTATATACTGAGCATGACGTCATATGGTATGGAATAGCCCTTTGGTCAGTTTGGATCAACTCTTCTGGCTGTGCCCCCTCCCAGTTTCTTGTGCGCCTGGCAGAGCATGGGAAGCTGAAAAAGTCCTTGACTAGCATAAGCAGTACTCAGCAACAACTAAAAACATCAGCATGTTATCAACATTCTTCTCCTACTAAATCCAAAACACAGCACTATGCCTGCTGCTAGGAAGAAAATTAACTCTATCCCAGCCGAAACCAGGACACAATGCTATTTCCATTTTTGTTCTATACAAAGGATATTAATGTTACCATGCTAAAAGAATAAGATTATGGTGAAGTCAGTAGATGCATTTTTTTTAACTGTATACTAATTACACTCACTGGAAGTTTTATTAACTAATGTAGTGATCTGACAAGAATGGGTTTACGTGCATGCAGTTTTAATGGTGAAAATTAAAAACTCATCCCAAATGAACTAAAGATTATATGAAAAAAAAAATTATGAAAATGAAGGCTCAGGGTTTAGGAGAAAATCTTGCTAGATAGGCACAACAAAAGGCTATGAAACTCTTGCTTGAGAAATTCTTTTTATCACATTTGTTGTAAATAAGTAAATTAAAGTGCAAGCCCTTTCTCTTCAAAAAATTACATGGAATTCCCCCAGGCTGGGGAGATGTTTACTGTTGTTTATTGTTTTCCGTGTAAGAATCACATATCAATAATGCTGATGAAATGTGTTAAAGCAAACAGCAATTTCATCCTGTAAGAGCATATGACAACAGTGCCCATTGCAATAACAGTCACCACTGCATACTATCTATCCTTTAGCATGTCATCCTCATTAGCTGTTATGAAGTCTCCTAATAAGCTTAACCCTTGATACATTGTTCCTGTATTATGCTTTTGAGCTGCTTAAGAGAAAAAAAGTCCTTCTGGAGACAAGCTCTTATGCCCCATTACCACAGGCTGCAGTGCTTTCACATTGTACTAATCATGAACAGAAAACAGTAACATACCGCAACATGCAAACTATTGATTTCATTCTCAGGCTGACAGGAGACTTTTTCCAAGCCTTTGGAGTCTATTTTCATCAAATAAAGCAGCCATTTGCCATTACTAATTTCTTTCGGCCATTGGATGTCCAGGGAAGCAGTACCAAATGTTTTCAGTGGTCTGCCCAAGTTAGTTACCTGTTAAAACAAACATTCTTTAAACTGTGAAATACTTTCCAAAGGGATTTTCTTCTCAATCGAAAGTGTTATTGACTTTTAAGCATGCAGCTAACAGGAAATTTAAAAGCAGATGAAAGACAGTCAAAACAGAGGATAAATACAAAGCTTATACTGAAACTAGCACACTTGGACAGCAAGTAAATATGGAGTTTAAACATGTAAGGATTAAAATTCCCTAACATGAACTTTAAGCTGTTGATTTTTAGAAATCTATCTTCATGTGAAACGACAACTCCAATTTGGAGTTAACAAATCATCCAGTTACATAACTGAGGCAAATTGCAAGTTTATGAGGAACTCTGACACAAAAAGATAACCAGCTCTTGCACTCATAAGTCTGGAAGTTGTTTCCCAACCTATTTTTTGCTTTCTTAGTGTTACTGTTCATGATAGCAAGTTCTAAAACAGATATTCTAACTGCTTCTACTTTAATACATACATGCAGGTACAGAAAGAAGTAAAGGATTGACAGAGATGGACTTTAATCCTGACAAACTACTGTGTACAAAGACGGCAGGGCTTGCATTAATGATGTAGAAAAAGCACCACTCTTGCTGATAACCTGAGATTTTACAGAACCAAAATAGTCTCTCTCAGCCTTCTCCTCGATTTATTAATTGGGCAGAAGACCAAAGAGTGAAACAGACCCATACATTCAAAGTGGTGCCCGCCGCGTCTTCTTGCACCTGCTCAATCCTGTGTGCAGTAAGTACACATACTTGCTGTCCATGTGCATCAGTTAACACCTGGGCATGCCACAGTTAGGGTTCTGGGTTTAAGTTTTGTTCCCTACCTGCATGGGGTTTTATGCTGTGCAAGTGAATGTGCGTGAACTGCTCTGAAAAACAAGCGTACAGCCAGCCTCAGGCCACTTCCTCAAAATATGACTGTAAAACGTCAAGGCCTAAAGAAGCTGTAGTCTGCAGTCAGACTGCATGTTCTGATCAGGAGTCAGGATTTTGGGACAAGAAAAGCCAATTCTAAATCCAGCAACTTTTCCAAGTATTCATATGCAAAAAGAGAGAAGCTGTTGGCATTAATCTAAATTACTCACTCTGAATTCATACTCTATGAGGTTTCCAATATGATCTTCAGATTTCATAGCACTCTCACCAATGACGCTGCCTCCAAAATATACCTGCGAAGGCTTAGCCACTCTGTTCAGGTGGGGGTGGGGAAGGAGAATAATCAGATTTTAATGAAGTCTGCAGCAAAACTGTCATCCCCAGCCCCCCCATTTGTTATGCTATCAGCACTTACCCAGTGAGTGATAAAAGCAATTCAAGAACCACTTTAGCACTAGCTGTAATTGGAGTCGAATTAACTTGAGTGCTTGTTCTACAATGAAAAGGAAACAATGCTGTTTATAAATTTAGCAGTTTTCACTTTACTACTAAATTGTGTTTGTGAATTGAACAAATTAATTCAAAATGTTTACAACTGTATATAAAAACATAGCACGTGCACACAAAGAAAACTTACGTTTCCAACTTCAGATTAATGTCCAAGTCTGTTGTATCAACATTAACTTTAGTAGTACTCAAGATCAGATAAAAGGTTACCTAGACAAGAAAGAACATCCATGAAATATGTAAACATTTTATAAAATATATTAATATATGCAGTATTATAGAAATACACCGTCAAGTTCTAAAGCTAAAAAGACAGATCCAAATCAAATTTCCAGTTATGACACACAGAAACTTTGGATGACTGCAGTCAGGAATCAGATTTTATAACGAGTAAAAGAGGTGCAACTTACATTAGAATTTCTTTTGAAAGGATTTCCAAGTTCACACTCTGCTTGAGAACCATTTTGGTTAGCACCACATGTTAGTTGTTTCTCCTGATTAAACAGAATACATTTACAAGTAAAAATATGCTGCAAATATTAAAAAATTTTTCTATCTTTTCTCTTAAAAATACTTACAGGATAACCCCTCATCTCCCTAAATGCAGAATATGTCAGACTGTCTGGAAAAGTTGCAATTAGTTTAGCTTCATATGCATCTTCACCATCTTTTTGTGGATTTTTTGCATCAGATGGATTGTTTGTCACCGTTATTTCCAGGGCAATATCTTTCTGATCTTTCAGAACAAGCACTGGCATGCCATTTTCACTACAGAAACAGAGTATACAGGGTTGTGTGCATTAGGAAAACAAATGTGTATGAAAGTTTGCTTCTTACTATAGTTTACCCTAATATAATTCCCTCTATTAGGGAAGAATCGCTATAGGACCATAAACACATGAATGGTTGCAGGTTTTTTCCCCAGACCAGTATTTCCTCTCTGAAAGTGGCCAGCAGTTAACAGCATAGAACAGACTGATATACCCCTCAAGTAATCAAGAGTTTATAGTATTTCTGAACCAGCACATGCATCTGGCTCATGTTTAATAGTGATGAATTTTCTCTGAATAAATCTACTGACTGACTTTTCTCTTGTAAAGCATACATGGGTTTGGCTTCCGAGTCAGACTGTGGCACTTACTGCTAAAGGTGACTTGACTGCTGACAGTAAGTAAACATACTTCCTTTTGTTTGTTTTACACCTCCTTTCTAATTTCGCTGGCCCTCCCACTGGCCCTCCAGGGAGGAAGGATACAACAGAGCATTAGGTGTGTGTTACAGTGAAATGGTTTCGCTGTTCACTTCTCTGTAACTGCTTGTCTTAGGCTACTAGACTATAGTGTATCAATCATATTGTCATACTCGCAATGAAATTTCACCTCAAAAATAGTTAACAGTAGCACACACAATAAACTACTGCAAAGCTGGTTTAGAATCTCATTTCTCCAGGGGTTAGAAACTTTTTCCCCCCCTAGCTTTTAGACCATATGTGCACAGCTGTGGCCACTTGGTATCCATTTGACTCTGTACCACCTCTCCTCTTCTAAAGTTCATCCCCAGTCCCCCATCTTCCTCACCCTGTCAGATCAGTACTACTACACAGGGCTGTGTTTGCCAGACTAACAGGATGAAGCTGCTCCATCTCCCAAAACCCTCTCCTAAAAGTTCTTTTAAGCACCTGTTAATAATTTGCATTTCAGCAATGCATTAATCAAGGCTTACATTGGTAAATAAGTAAACCTGTCTTCATTTCCTTCTCTACTGCAAAACCGGTACTGAAGTTTCAGATTGCTGTGACATTCATTGTCTTCTCCACATCCTTCTTTTAAGAACTCCACCTAAATAAAACCAAAGCACTTTTAGTGCATGCTACACAATACTAGCTTAAAACAAGATTTCTGACATGCACTGCATAAAGTGTCTACGGGGAGCTCAGAGATACTTTCCTGGCTAGAGTAAGATTTTAACCTGACTCTTCTTGCCCGTCAAGAGTTTTTCCTTTGTGAGACATAGCCCTTGATGCTGATAATTTAGAACTTCAAATGTGACTAAAAGGCAGAATTAGATAATTCTAAGTGAGAGGTACACTTCTAATGAGGAGAAACATCCTTAAGTCTGATTCTTCAATGAGCGTTCAGGAAATGAAATCTTTTACCCAAGATACTTTCTCTCTTTTACGTCACTGCTGCAGAGTTCTAATGCTGTTACAGCATCCTACCTATGGAAAAATTAGCCTGTACATAATTTTGTGATGTGGGACAAGTGTTCACGGCAGGAGATGATGGATTTCCATTTTTAATCAAAAGTACATTTCCTCCTAAACTTGGTGGGGAGAAGGAAGAAACCTAGCAGCTATACCAGCTTCACTTTTGTTGCAAAAGAAACACCGGATCTAGTTCATAACATTTTGTAGCAAGTTCATAACAACGTATAAAATATAAGCCAGTAGTTACAAGTCCAGTGCCGCCCCAGTTATTTCCTTTGGTTGCAATTTAGCTTTCTACAGTCTTAAAATTCAGTGATTTATCAAAGTGCAGATTTATGGGAAAATGTGATATCAAAGGCTTACTTTCGTGGTCTTTGCTTCAGATTCATTTGAATTCAGAATTGGTATAAGATCTGGAAGTACCCTCTCTTTTCTTGCAGGCGGTGAGCTAGACTCCAGGCCAGCAATTTTAACACTGACTGATATTGGAATGGGGCGTAGCTTATCTTTAATTTTTTCCTGTTAAAATATTTAAATGGCATAGTTAGTATACAGTACAGAGAAGAAAAAACAACACAAAGACTAGCTTTTGGTGCACATTTTAAAACAAGCAGTAACGCAAAATATTTTCTGCTACATTTTGCAGTATTAAAACTATTCACTATATAGAAACCCAATACTTTCTAAAAATGTGCAAGAACACAAGGAGCCCTAGCCCTACTGTCTTTTTCTGGCTTCCCAATCTGATGATTTCTCTCACCGTTAAGAATTCCTAGGAACCAGAGATGGTAGCTCAGGCTAGTGAAATTCACACTACAATGATAAAATAACACACTTTCTCCCTATTACACAAGTTCAAGCTCTTTTGATTTGCTGTGGTCAAAAGCAGCCTCGGAGGCTGACTCATTACTGCTGAGCCACAGATAGAGAATTTATTCAGCTCCTGGAGCAGTGCCACCTTTAAGGGCCAATGTAGCAGCCAAGTCAGAGAGCACATACCAAGCTCTCTTGTCCTGCCCATTCATCCCCTCCAAAACCCCTCAGTTAAAATTCTTTTCCTAGCCAGTCACACCATTAAATTCTGTAACAATTACTTCTGTTGGAAACAGCTGTATTGTTCTAAATTAGTTCAGCTCTATTGACATCCAGAGCATGCTGCAGTGGCTACAACTTTTATTCATACTTTGTAAGAAAGACAACAGGAGGAAGCAGCATGTGTGCAGGGAATAGTAAGGTACTACTTAACTACTGTTGTTTTCTAGTTTTGAAGCTTTATATTGCATGTGGCTTAAGTTATAGACAAAGGTACCACGAGGCTGAAAAAAAGAGCATGCTTTTGTTTTAAATGGATCTAAATGAAATAAAAATAAAATACTCTGCCTTACCTGCAGTACAAGCTTGGTTGTCACACACTCTTTTGAGTTCTGCCCCCTTAGGGTTGTACTTGCAGTAAACTGATCAGAGAGGTAGTCTTTAAACCGTACCCTAGACGGCAGGCCTAACCGCCTCCTCTCGTTTTCTGCTTCAAATGTATAGTTGATCCCTATATGAAGAAATAAAGTAGGTCACTATAAAAAAGAACCCTTGCCTTACTGAAAAGAACTTTAATTTCTCCAGGTATGATCTTACAACGTTATTCTAGAAGAGTTTCAGCCAGTGCTGGGCTTCACAAACTGTTTTCAGTTATTTACAACACTTTCTCCATCTGTCAGTTTTGTCCCTCTCCAGTTGAGGGCCAGGTACCCCGCACGTGTATCCAGAGGAAACTTCTAAACCAAATCCTTTTATTCCAGAAGTACCCCATTACTTTACCAGCATGCAGAGCTGGCTGGAGGAGCTGTAATTGCTTCTGGGGAGCCAGTAGAGGGCTGAGATACAAAACTTTGTAAACTCATCTGTTCTTGATTTCTCTTTTGTCCCAAATAGCACCTAAGCAGCCAGCACGATTTTGAGGTCAAGGTACACTGTTAATTTTAACACTGAAAGCAAAGTGCGACGAGAGCTTTCTAGCTGTATGCTGAGGCATGTTTTGATAGATCTGAACTCTGTGCATCTTTTAATGATCTCTGTATTCACCGAGCTAATTCAATGTCGCAAGGCTGGGAACAGCACCCAGCATGCCAGGCCTCGGGAGCATGCAGATGGGCACACGTGAGCCGCCTCTGAGAGCTGGCAGCGCATGACCTGTTGAAGGACCAGGACCTTATTCAAGCATATCTTATAGATTTTACAAGTAACTGAGAAACTCAAGACAACACAGGAAGAGAAGAAGGTTTGGGCTTAAACTTCTTCTCATTTCCTCTCAAAATCCTACACAGTTTTCTGAGGTGTAGTGACAGCAGCATTGTAATGAGAAAAAACAAGAGACATGAGAAACTAATGCTTTACGTTTTTAACTATATTTATGGCACAGTCTTCCAGGCTCCTATTCATAGAAAGATTTTTTTATTTCAGTTACTGAAAACAAAACCATTTTCATGAAAACAGAACACTGTTTTACATGGTAAGTCTCCAGTAAGAAATAATGCTTACTAACAATATGTAAAATGGGCTTTTAAAAATATTTTCTAAAGCAGCAGTAACCTAGAGAGGCAAAATGGTTTTGGTCTGTATGGCAGCCATTTGCTCACTGGTAGTTATATTATCTGGAAAGCTTCAGTTCAGTCTGTCATCCACAAAACTTCCCGACACACCAGCATGACTCTAAGTACATGTTATTCTGAATACAGACAGTGCAACAGCTGATCAACCTTAGTATTGAGTCACATTTTAAATTTGACAATCACAGTCTGAGTCACTATAATTTGAGTACTATTCTTCCATGACACATTATGAAGAAAAAACAAAAAGCAAACCATATGACAAACAGATGAAAAATATTTATCTTCAAAACTTACTTATTCTTGGATTTAAATCACTGGGGTTTGCAGTATATTGAAAACATGCTTTCACATCCATCCTGTAAAAAGTGCCAAGAAATTAGTATTAATTTTAATAAGGCATGGCCCAACAGACTGAAAAGTTTTAGTAGCCCATTGACTGATACCGTCAGTCTCATGACTGTGGTTTTCATGGGAGAACAGTAATTTGCTGCTTACTAAGCTGAATTACAAACCAAGAAAACACGGTTAATAAGCAAATAGAAAAAATATTTTCTGGTATTTGCTCTTACATCTCTACTCATGAGAAAGCTGTTCAAGTTAAGATACCTGTAAGCGTTAAAAGTCTTAAGTGGCAAAGTGACATTAATTTTCAAAAATGGACATTATGACCAGAACATATTCCACCCCTTGTCTTTAGCACATAGTCATACCAAATTCAGGAAGTCAGAATGATCACACGCAGATGCATTTGCTTAACCTGCACAACTGTCATATCCCTTCACTTTAACATCATCACTGACTGAACAAATTTTGACAACAGAAAACTCAATACACCAAGGCTTCTGATATAATAATTTTTTTTAAATTTACCATATTTCACTAGGGTCTTCAGGGTTCTTCTTCTTTAGATCAATTCTGTCAGGCTGTACTGTAATGCTGCTTCTAATACTTATCACAGGCCGAGATCTTCATTTGGGGGAAAAATGGGGAATGAAAACAAGGGTTAAAAAAAAGAAGGAAAAGATTCTGTTAAGATTAATTAAATAATTCATGTGAATCCCAGACGCCCTCCATGCCTGCACTGATTTGCAACAAAGACATCCCAAGAAACACAGAATTTGGCTTTGATAAAGGTTAGAAACAAAACTATTTAAAGCTAAGCAAAGCAAGTCACAAAAAACGACTACAGTTGTATTAAATGCCTGACAGGGTACATTAATGTGATGTTGTGGTTGTCATTTTACACACATATGAAAACCAGAAAATTCAAAGTGATGGTTCCCACCCCAATGGTAATTCAACCCCTATGAACAACTGTAGCTACTAAAGTTCATTCAGATCAATGTTCACAACAGCTTTAATGTGGAGCCTGGGTAGCTGTGGGAAATGATGCTTTCATTTCCTGACTCCTCTGCATGTAGGCTGCAACCATAATTCAGCCTGACAACTTTTCCTTTCTCTTCCTTTTTGGAAGGGACAAGAAAAGACGGTTCACATGAAAAAAAAAATGAATGAGCTGATCCCCGCTCTCCTGGAAGGATCTAAGGGTTGTTTAAAATGGCCAGTAAGCCACCTCTTCCTTTTCTAGCAAATTTCTTTTAACTGGGCCACCCCCTTCATTGTTCATCATCATAAAGGTTGTTGTTTTCACCTTTGTAAATGTTTCTGTACTGCCCTTATCAGCAAATGATTAAAGCTCCTTTTGAGTAAGCAGAACACCTAATAATCTAATCAACTTCCATTCTACCTACTCTGTTGTCTTCCACAAGCAACATGAGTTGGTTTTGTTGGGTGCTGTTTCAGTGTATTTAAGAACATTCCAATTATGTACACAGGTACTATACACCTTAGAGATGGGATCACCAGAGAATTGCAGGAAAGGTCATTCTGCATCAAAGGTAGAGTTGGTTTTATCCCTAAAATTGAGATAAGCAGTTTTGGAGTTTCTGCTCCTCCTCCTTTGGGACCTGACAGCAACCACCGAAGACCTGAACTTGATGCAGCATTCATAGCTCTGATGAGGAGACAGTCCTCTTCCTGCTCATTACTAATGATTCAACTCAGCAGTACATTAAACTGGAAAAAAAGCAGAGGTCCATAAAAGACCATGATCTCATCCCTAATTAAGGCATATACTACAGAAATCCAAAGGGATCCTATCTGCAGGGCTTCCTCACAGCTGTTTCATGGACCCCACTGCAACCTCAGCAATACCTCACTGCTTTTGGATCCTCGGCTGCAAAAGAGAAGTTTCGTTTCATTTTGTTCTATCTTCAATAAAGCAGGATTACATTTATATAACAGCAGCAAACAAAAGCTCTAGCAAATGTATCAGTTAACTTCTCCTTTCTTAAGGCAAAGGAATTACTTATCACCCTTAATTCCAGCAAAGGACACAGGCATCCAAGTAAGTTACCACAGGGCAAAGCTAGGGTACAGATACACTACATGCAGCAGCACTCCACAGTAACTGTCCGCATTCACCCTCTTACCCTGTATTGATAGTAAGGCAGCTTCTCAATGAGAAGAGGGGGATAAAGTAACAAACCAATTTATGGATTTTCACCCCCTCCACCCCCCAAATTTCCAACTTCTAGAAGAAAAAAAATACACTCCAGGCCAAACAGCTTTTTGTTACTTCTAAGCAGTTTTTTTAAAAACAAACTACAACCAGAACCTTGGTGTAATTAGTTACAGTTCTGTATTACCTGAACACAGATACAGAATCTGAAAGGGAACCAACAGCAATATCAGGGTAGGAATTTTTGTCCAGGTCCATGTTTCCAGCAATAGAGTAACCAAAGAAATTGGTGCCTGTTTTTTCACCATCAAGAATCTAAAGAGCAAACAGATTGAGGGAATTTAGACATTTAAAAGCTGTTGAAGTGGAATAAGTAACAAGTGAGCATCATTGTCTCATGGCCAGGGGACGGGGGGGGAAGAGAGAGAAGACATACAAGGAAATAGAACCTCTGTGTTCAGGTAAATGACACTGAGTGCCAGGATTTTTTGCTTTTCTTCCAAAAAGTTACTTTGCGATAGCAGTGAGTACCAGAAATTACTCTTTTAAATAGAAGTGTTGCCTAGCTTATCTTTATTTATAGTATTTATGCAGTATAGACACTTGAAAAACTGAAAAAGTAATTGAGAAAGTATTTCAATGGTATTCTAGGAAGTGTAATCAAGTTCCATTCTCACATTGCAGACAACACAGTGGTCCTCAAGAGAAAAAGAAAAAGGCATAAACATTTTTTTGATTAAAAAAGAAAGTGAAGTAGTCGTAGTGAAAGACAAAATGAAGAAACTAAGTATTTTCAAATCCCCAAATTTCTTTCAAAAAAACAAAACTTGCACACCTACATGCCTTTTTCCTTCTCTACATATTATTGGTGCCAAAGGACTGCCCCAGAAAGAAAAATGTGTGTTAAAATCAAGAATTCCTAATCCTTCTGGTCAGCTGTGCAATCTTCGAAGGGTCCTGTGACTTTTCTGCACACCCACCACCCCGCTAATAGTAATGGAAAAGGAGAAAATGGATAGCCCTATCATCCCTTTAATTTTGTGCAAGACTAATTATATAAAGTAAAGGTTATTTCAATACCTGTGCTGGTTTTGTGTTTATTCCATTCTTGGATCCATGATAAATGTATACTTTGCCAAAACCATCATATGGAGCCCCTACTGCAATATCTGTTGAAAATAAGTTGCAACATCTAAAATCATTCTTGCTCTTTCTGCAGCTTGCAATCATGATAAGGGTACGATGTTCCAACTCTGGCATCAGCATGTCACATACATTTTTACTGTAATCATTTTTCACTCACCTGGATAGCCGTCCTGATTAACGTCCCCAACGTTTTCAACTGCAAGACCAAACATGGAGTCAGTGGTTCCATTTAAGCGAATAGGTTCTACTCCTTCCCATTTGCCTTGCTGGTTAATGTAGATGTACACAGCTCCACCGATATCTCCACTTCTGTCAAAATATTGCGGGGCTCCAACAACAATGTCTTGCCATCTTAGAATTAAAGGAAAAAAAAGTAGGGCTTTTACAGAACTGTGAAAAATAACCATCAGACTGTGGTCTCAAGGTCAGCTAGCCAAAGAGCTGCTAAGCAAAGACTAAGAAGTACATTAAACTGGCTGAGCAACAACAGCTCCACTGATACTACAAGCTGATTATATTTCCTTTGTGACATACAAGGATATTCTAGGGCCTGCTTTGGGTATCATTTAGGTTGGAAAAGATCGAGTCCAGCCGTTAACCTGGTATTGCCAAGTCCACCACTAAGCCATGTCCCTAAGTGCCACATCTACACATCTTTTAAATACCTCCGAGGATGGTGACTCCACCACCTCCCTATGAGGTTTGCTGCTTCTTTGTTTACACTAACTGTTTAAATTTAAATAAACTCTTTTCTATAATTAGAAATGTAGACCATGTCCTGACTGGTTCTCTGAGATGGTCACCATTTCCTCCAGCAAAACATGGAAGATGGGATTTGGCATTCCTTGTATTTCCAACGTGAAAAACCAAAGCCGAATTAAAACAGATCACCATCCTTCATTATACAGGCAGCAGGAGTTAACCAAGGCCATACCCATCACTGTTGAGATCCACAACAGCAACATCATAGCCAAAAGAAGAGGCCAGCCCTTCTCCTTCAAACATGTGCTCGAGTGAAAGTGCTCTCTGATTTTTCTCTTTTTTCAGTAAAACAACTGCTCCGCTGTGGTTGGCTCTTGGGGCACCAGACACAAAAGTCATCTCATCTTGGGAGACAATTCCTTTACCAGAGTCCAAAGAGAAACCTTTAACAGAGAAAGAAATAAATTATAAACAAACAAATGGCTTGTATTGTTCATAGGAAAAATAAATTCCCCTACTATATTAAAGTGGTATATTGAATAGAAGTTTTATCTAAAACAGAGTATGATATCCTGGGAATTCTCCTTTTCTGTTTGGACTGGTGAATGCATATTTACAAGTCTACACTCTTCCATATATTATATTTAAGTATTTCCCCCACAAAACATATTATTTCATTGCTTACTCAGATCTACTTTTCACAGACACCAAATACAAGATCATTTTTAAAAGCACCAGCTTAGAAATGACTACACCTTACCACTTGAATATAGCTCGAGTATCTCACGTCTGGCAAAATCGTTATAAAAATTCCTAAGTACAAGTCAATATCATTCTGTTGCAAACATGCAAAACATATTGCACAAGCACAGTATTGCACATGAGTGATGTATACAGTATTTGAGAATCACCTCACACAGTAATGGTGAAATTGGCAATTTTGATTCAATGCAGCCCTGAAGGACATGTTCAAATTAATTTAATCTTACGTATTCTTTATAAAAGTCAATGCATTTAAAAAAAATATGAAAAACGGAGTTAAAAGAATATACTGCATATACCAACATATCCAATAAAGCCCAAAGAAGAAAGTTACATACACTGCAAGGAAGAAAGATACTAGCCAGCAGACAGAAGTCTCCCTTCTGAAACACTTCACCACCACTATGAAAATTCTCAATTACAGCAATTCACAATGAGACAGTTTCAGAAAAATTCAGGGAGTCCCATCTGGGGGAGGGATGAGAGGGTTTGGAGAAATGTGTGACATGTTTCTTGAAGCCATGTTATTTTGCAAGCTACTCTTCATCTGAATCCCTGTTTTTACATGCTTTTACTTGCAATGTATTTGAGATGAGGGGGGATGGAGAGGAGAGGATCACGTGAAAGGTCTGGAGATTACGTCTGACCAGATGCTGCCACCTCAAGCGGTCACAAACCTAAGTAGCTATTCATCATTACATCCACCGATTTGTCCACCTGTATGCTGGGAGGCAACGTTTTGTATACAAACTGATCTGGATGAGTATCAGATACAGCTGTCAAAAATAGAAGACCTGTAACCATGAGTGAA